ATCTAGTGGCCTTCTCACACCCCAGTTGACAGTGGCCTCTGGAGTCCCCTACTCCCATGGGGGAGTCTAGGGCCTCCAGAGGCCTACCTTGGCCACCACTTGCCCCCTCACCCCACCGGGAGCGCTGAGGGCAAGAGGTGGTCCAGCAACAATCAGTTTTCAACCACCTGACCTCTCTCCACCTTCCCCACAAGGAGGTCTGGTGGGAGAGGCCAGGCAGCTTTGACTTTGAAAAGCTACCGGTGGGACACACAACTCATGCATGTTATCCCTTGGGGAGAGCACATATACTGTATGCATTTATTACTATACAGCATATAGTTATAATATTCAATAATGATGTGAGATGCAAGGAGCCTCCAAATTCAAAAAACGATTCCCATAACGTGCCCTGCCATCATAACTATTGGGTATATCCTATTTCCAGTAGCAGTGGATGATGATGGTTAGTAAAGGCCTTTCCCTAAAATGGTGATAAATTAGGATGTTTGTCACCCTCTTGAATGGTGAGGTTCCCGGCAGCTTGTAGGACTATTTACCACTCGTTTACTGACTGTTGCAGGTAATGGGACAGACCCTACATATCTAACACAAGGCTCACCACCAACATCAAGCCACCCGCGGTGAAACACCACAGGGCGCCGAGACTCCGCTCTTCCTCCTGACGCACCACGGCTTGCACCTCTGAACGTTGAAGATCCTGAGTGTCCAACACAAATGAGCTGGAAATTGATGGAACCGACTGATCCAAAGAACCTAGCCTAAGTGAATTCGGAATGTGCCAGTGCCCATGTACGGCCCCTAGATCTCATCCCTTCTCAGCGACCAAATCAGACCTCACCCGCTCAGGGCAGCTGAGTCGCGCCCATGTCGTCTGTCTGTGTCAGCTAAGCCGCCACTAAAACTCGACCAGGTTACACCGGTTCCCAAAGTCCGTTTCTGGACTTCAGACACGAAGAAGGCACGGAGCTCTCTCACCATGCTTTTGAGGCACGTTCAGCGGCGTCTTCTGTGCGATCTTGGCCACTTCCAGCGCTTGGGCTGAAGACCCGCTCGCGGCCAAGGCGCGCACACGCAAGGTCAACACCTCCGGACTCCTGGAAGAACTCGTTTCTGCATCGACGAGGTTCTTCGGGCGCTCGGGAACTTTATGGAACTTTGTGGCAGTGTTTGGGCCGTGACTCGAACATAGGGTGTTGGATGGCGTTGGTAAAAAAACACAATTTAAACACCCATGGTCCATGAGTGCTAGAAGTTCCTGGAAAGCTCCTGGATTCCTCTCAGTTGTTGAACATGCTGACGTGTTTGAGAATCTTTGATGTATGCATTGTGGCACATGGATCCATCGGGTCATCGGGTCCTTGGATCCAGCCAAAGCGCTTCATGTGTATCTTCCAAAGCCTCTGCCACATGTCCTGGACCATTGGTCACTGAGATGACACAAAAGGCTCCCTCTCCATCCCTTTCTTGCCTAGCAATTCTAAGTCTGGCACCTGCCATAATGGTTTGTAAGTGACCATGACCCATGATTGAACCCTTGGGGTGTTCTCAAGATATTGGGGGGAAACAGGGCTCCACTGCCCAACAAGAAGTCTTCCGAGGGTGGGTCGTGTATTGCCCGGGAGTTCCTTGTCCGCCCAAATCAACCCAGCATCCTTGCTCCAAGCGTTGCCGTGCACGTAGGGTCCACCACAGGGCACACGGTGCTGCCCCGTGCACGGTGCGGTGAAGTCGCTGAGGGCGAGGTGGTCGCGGAGGTTCCCTCGCGTCGCTTTGGATCAAAGCCTTAGAAGAAGTGGCTGGAGTCCCAAAAGAAGGCACATTCAATTAAAGTAATGTCCACTTTTCCAGTCGTTTCGAATCACTTGTCACAGTAGCCAAGCTTCAAGAGGCTTAGTCTTGGTTCAATCATGTTGCAAAAAGTCCTCATTTTATCGTAGGTGAATTAACAGCAATCATCAGTAATCCGTAATTCCTTGAGAATGATTGCATGCAGGACCCCTCAACAACAACAACAACAACAACCACAACCAACAACCAACAACCAACAACCAACAAACAACAAACAACAAACAACAAACAAACAACAAACAACAAACAACAAACAACCAACAACAACAACAACAACAACAACAACAACAACAACAAACAACCAACAACAACAGCAAACAACAAACAACAAACAACAAGCAACAAACAAACAAACAAACAAACAAACAACAACAGCAAACAACAACAAACAACAACAACAACAACAACAACAACCAATAACAACAACAACAACAACAACAACAACAACAACAACAACAACAACAACAACAACAACAACAACAACAACAACAACAACAACAACAAACCAACAACAACAACAACAACAACAACAACAACAAACAAACAAACAAACAAACAAACAAACAAACAAACAAACAAACAAACAAACAAACAA